AAAATGCCAAAATCTAACTCTAGTATCACCACCAACTTTAGACTGGAAAAAGTGATCTAAAAATAGACTGGGACTACATTCGTGGGTACTGAACCGGATTTTATTAATTGTGTACTGATTCCTGAAAGGGTCGATGTTTTTGTCAAACTTTTATATTTGCATTTTATTTTGCATGCCACTACTGTTTCAACTTCATACATAATGTCTTTTGAAATTTCCTTGCAAGCAAGACATGTGACAGCTGTCAGAAAGTGTGTAGTGCTGGTGTTCTATAGGGTACAATTTGAGGTCCAATTGTTCTTAAAAAACCAAAACTAAATTTGCTATATCTTCCTTATTTATAGGAATTTTTCAATGCAGTAAAAACCTAATTGTAATACTTGATAAGGCCTGTCTGAAAATAGTCTTGAAATTAAAAAATATTGATATATTAAATTTTAATGAAAATTTTTAAAAAAAAATAAATTTTAAAAGCTTTTTATTTTACAAAAACTAAATTTTCATACAAGTTATGACATTCAGTTTGACAAATTTAAGGCAGCAATGTTGATTAATGAATGGTCTTTAAAACAAATGGTAGTTTAGGTCTGTACAACTGATAATATTAATCCCAGGGGTACTGAAGCATGATAGCTCACAGTGATTTTGACAGCAAATTGCAATGTGCCTATCCAGATGCATATAGGTGTACATACTAAAGAAACAATGACAGGTACTATGTTCCACATTTATTGTTTCAGGTACTTGGACAGTTGTTTGTATAACTAATATCCCACTCAAATTTAAAGTTTTGATGGGACCACTACCATGTTTTATAGCAAATATGCATTCCATTTTAATGCCGATAACTACAAAAGTCAACAATGCAATATGAAAATACAGTTTCACCTTACTGAAAAAAGATGCGAATCTCTCTCATGAAGATCTAAGCCATGTCTTTGAGATGCTGTATATCAGTGTACTGATATGAACTCATCTTGGTCACTTATAGCAGCACACTGCACATGTCCTTATGAGACCTTGCTATCACTATTGGACTACTGGAGAGCTTCCAAATTGATCCAAATCTAATACTTTGTTCCAGATACCAGACTAGACCTGAAAATATATAACATGTTTCTTTTAATTCTAAAAAAGGAAGATGTAGGCAAATGAAGTTAAAATGTGTTAGATATGGTGATTTCAAAATAACATTCAGGTTGCAAATATGGTTAAAAAAGGTAAACTTGATAGAGTGACACTCAAAGATGTGAAGCAATGGGCATGTATTAAAGTGACAAATGCATCCTAAAAATAGATGAAGTTTCTACAAGCATATTTAGCCATTTACAGGTTAAATAACTAATAAGGTAGAGTATGTATCATAACGTTTAAGGCAATGTTGGAACGGTGAGGTTTGATCATTGGTGCAAACATTGATACATACCAGTATAGTGGAAAGTCAAATGACAATGTACCAAATTAAAATTTATTACTATATGCAATCCTATTCATGAAGGAAAAACAATTTTAGATATTGTGAGTGAATATAGCAAAATGTAGCCACACAGATCAACTATAGGTACCAATAGATCCTATATCATCAACTAAATGTGAAATTTTCATCCTGAAAACTTGTAAACAAGGATGGATATTTGCATGTGTGGGACATATGCAATGTACTTGTTAAAAGCACATGGGCAAACATGATTCAAATAATCTCTTTAAACATTTTTAGTCTATTTTTAAGAAACCTGGCTACCAAGTTATTAAGTTCAATGATTCAATGATTCAATGGAATCAAATATCAGCTGATGCTGCAATACCGCCCTCTGTCAAAGTACTAAATTGAAATGTGTTACCATACAGAGGCATATTCATGATGAAAATAACATCTTGGGATATTTTAAGTGCACACAGTCAAAACTGAGCCTTACAGATTCACTATAGGTACCATGTCAGCCTAACAATGTCAACTTTTGATTCCAAACATTACAAAATATATGCATATTTGTTCATGTCAGCTATGTAACCATGTTAGGATCAGTTGTAGAAAGTTAAATTCAAATAATCTGTTTGAATATTACTTATGTAATATTTAAAGTGTCAGATAACAAATATTATTAGTCATTAATAATGCATAAAGTAAAATGGATCATGAGAATTCCCATAATATCATCTGGGCTACAATGTCGCACTACATCAATCAACATCTTAAAGAAACTAAACAATAAAATGGAATGCATTCTGTGTTCAACTTACATCATTTTGCTGTTTTCTTACATGCAATGGTAAATATACCTGGGTAAAGTATATTTTACCCCTCTGACCTGTATTTCATTCTCTGACAGCTTAATATGATTTTGTAGAGAACTTGAACAGGTTCTAGTATAAAGTCTTCATCTCTGTCCTCTCACTAAATACCCTATAACTATGGTTATAAACAATTACTGATAGCTATACAAGCACATATGTGTTACTCAGGAAGTCACCCCATCATAAACACATAAATTAACTGTTTGAACCCCAAATAAATAGTTTCAATGACCTAAAGGTACAAAGCAAAGTAAAATTTTGTCTTCATGTATTTTAAATGAGGGTCTTATTTTGTTGTTGTTGTTGTTGTTGTTGTTGGGCTTAACGCCATTTTTCAGCACACGATAGGCTATTCATGGCGGCCAGTATTAATGGTGGAGGAAGAAACCGGGAAATCAGCGGAAAGAACCACCGACCCAAGAGAAGCTACTGGCAAGCTTTCTCACATATCCACATTCGCCGAATCCTAGACTCGAACCCACGCAGACAGAGGTGAGATGGCAGTGATCCGTAACGGACAGCGCTTTAGACCACTCGGCCACTCGGGGCCCCTGGGTCTTATTTTGACTAATAAAGATATTTTCTCTGATCAAATTTGACAAATATCCATCATTTGAGCTTGTATATGGTGTAGGAGTATATATATGCTGATATCATTTAATATCATTCCCAAAAAATATTATATATGTGTATACTTGGTGGAAATTTTTTATTTTTTAATTGTTTTTTTAAATTCATTTAAATTTTTAAAATTAAAATTATTTTTTTTACTTCTAATTTCATTTTTATATTTTTAAAGTCAATATACATAACATATTAAAATTTCATGTATATGTCATTAATAATAAAAAATTTATATCAGTTTCAAGTTTTTACTGACAGGCCATAGTACACAATTAATTTTACTATATGGTCTCTACATTTGTTCCTCAGTACTGAACTTTCCACTGTGTGACAATCAATACAAATCATATGTTAATCTAAAATACCTTTAAAGATGACTTTACGGTTTAGTTCTTGTCATGGGTTGACCTGCATTTTTTTGAGAGGCTGAATTGTAAACAAAACACCAGGCAACGGAACACAGATTTCACTTCCGGCTCATCACCATGACCTTATTACTCAATGTGCACTGTCGCCGAAATACACACAGACAACCACACCATAAGATCACATTTTAAAGAATAATCATTGCCTTTAAATCCTTACCAAGAATGCCAAAATCTAACTCTAGTATCACCACCAAATTTAGACCAGAAAAAGTGATCTAAAAATAGACTGGGACTACATTCGTGGGTACTGAACCGGATTTTATTAATTGTGTACTGATTCCATCCATCTATTCAATGTCAACGTACCGCCGCATAAATCCGCCATCCTGACCGACTTTCCGAATGGTACAGAATATCTCGCTGTATTGATACAAGACGTTTATATTAAGAAACCGCACGATCATTGACTAACGTTTTTGAACATACCTTCATATCAATATTAAATTTGTTCACAGTTTTTCAATCTCAGGTCAGTGAATACATGTATAAAAATCTTTACATACACCACACGTTAATTTAAATCACACACGTTAACATAAGTGGCATATGTAAATATGAATCATAACACGTTAATGTAAATCATATACGTTAATATTAATCAAACTTTATATAACTTACCAAAAAATTGACGTATAAGCAAATCAGAACAATGTCCATTTCAAGCAATCATAATACACGCAAGAGCGTTGTGTCGGCTTTTTGTTGCAAATGTTTATTTTTTAAAAATCAAAGACACACGTTTAATTTGTTATGGTAATGTATCAATTAATAAATAAATGAGTGAATATTATACTGCATACCAAAATCTCAAAGAAAAAGAAGCTGAATCCCAAAAAATCTACTTCCCTACCAAGCTATCTACCACCTCTCCACCTACCTAAGTACTCTCATGACCGAAAAGACTATAGAAATATCAAACATTACATAAACACGTTGTCTGCAAGTTTCAAGTGTCTGTATTTCACCTCCACGATTCTGATTATTTTTTTTTATTTCAGATCTCATCAAGACCCTGCTATCCATTTGAAAAGAAGTCTGAATTAAACGGATTATTGACTTCACCATTTTGTTAAAACATTTATTCCAATTATTGCTTCAAATGAAACGAAAACAGATAAAGTAGATACAATTTATGTGCAATGAAACTTTTATTTCTGGAAATATAGTACACTCGATAGAAATCATATGATTTAATTATGTTTTAGACTGAAAAAAGGGCGTCTGAATCTGTTGTTTTAAGAAGAAAACTTGTACAAATATAAAAGTGGAGGTCTTTCTTATTATTAGCAAGTGATTGTCATAAATTATTTTAATTAGTTAGAAATTTAGGAATATGTAAGTCTACTAACTTGAACCGCTTCTGACAGAGCTTCGCTGTGTTTTCTTACTTTTCTTAAGCTCTTAACACATTATCTTCTTAATTCCTGCCGTAATTTTAATTAATTACTTGATGAATATAACCACTTGACCGTGCTGCTTACTTTCTTTTTTTTTTCTCTTTGGTGTAGAGGGATTCAGATCTATATGTACCATATCTTCATCATCACTAGTGATAGATTTTAAATCCTTTTTAAGAATATGCTTCTTTGTTGTGTGAGTTTCCATATTTGGTAGATACTGATTAATTGCATCGTCTTTCTTTCTTTCAAAACTGACTGTTACGGTGGACTAAGTGGTTAGAGCGTCCGTCTTGGATGCAAGCGGTCGCGGGTTCGAACCCCGGCCGAGCCATATCACTCACATAAAAATGGTACTAGCAGCTGTCTTGCTCGATATTAAGAGGTTAGTGTTAGGAGTTATCAGTCTATTTCATGATGGTGTGACTTGGTGGTCCATAATGCTACATGGCTGAGACATGACGCCCCCGTGCTAGACATTGCTATAAATTGCCACACAGCAGACAATGTAGCGATATGACTAAAATTGTTAAAGCTACGTTAAAAATAAGAATCAACACAGATTGTTCAGAGTGTGAAGTAAAATAAGATTAATCAATATGATACTATTTGGTTATTGTCATTGAGTTCTATCGATTATCCTTACTCTGATTTTGCCATCCTAAAATTTAACGTTGAAGTCCGTATGTGTAATGTAATCATACTAGTATTTTTATAAAAATTAACATAGATGAGAACTTTCTTTTCTCTTCTATATTTATTGTACAGTGAATTCATTCATGTTTGTATAATGCGCTCATCCCTTTTTGTACACTTTTACAAATCTACATGTCCATCCATCACATAATTGTTTTTCACTTCATCTGTACTTGGGTCATCCGAGTTGATCACATTATGGAATCGATGCATGATTTTTGAGTGATAGGATCATGCCAGCAATGTAAAACAGAACGTAATCTCCCTAGAGAGAACTTAAAGTTAATTCACTAACATAGCTAGGTGACCGTTTCGAAGGAAACTACTACAGAACTATACAATAGTTTATCATTTACAGTTAGAATATACATTACAGAATAAAAAAATTAGCTCACAATTTTTAAATGATCACAATGGTACCATCTTGAAATAAATGTAATCATTAAACCAGTTATAACGAAACACGATGAACCAATTCAACTTGTTGGTGGAGAACTACATTGACTAACTATTGAGCCAAGTGGTCTAAAGCGCTGTCCGTTATGGATCACTGCCATTTCACCTCTGTCTGCATGAGTTCAAGTGCAGACTAAGTTAACGTGGGTAAGTGACAAAAGCCTGACAGTAACTTCTCAGGGGTCGGTGGTTCTTCCCGGGGTATTCCCGGGTTCTTCCTCCACCATTAATACTAGCCGCCATGTATAGCCTATCTTGTACTAAAAAATGGCATTAAAACCTATATCAACAACAATTAACCATTGATGAAGTGAGTAGTACGTAAATGGGATTTTGCCTAATTCATTGCATTATTGGTAGGGTATCAATGCGGTCAAACACTCTCTTCCGTACTTAACACTACGTTATTCTGCATCGATTGTGAGACAGGAAAAATCTCTAAGAGAGAGAGAGAGAAAATCTCTAAGAGAGAGAGAGAGAGAGAGAGAGAGAGAGAGAGAGAGAGAGAGAGAGAGAGAGAGAGAGAGAGAGAGAGAGAGAGAGAGAGAGAGAGAGAGAAGAGAGAGAGAATTAATTGCCCAAGGATTTTGAAAGAATTTATTGATATCGCTAGAAATGACGTAACTTTACCACAAGATTGGAAGATCAGAGGGTGTAGCAGGAAACTTAAAATCGCCGTGCCGTTTGAATGCGTCTTATTATTAAATAGGTTCAATAAGCTCGACCCCGTCCATTACTTTTCAGCCTTAGCAGTTCCTTGTTAAATCACTAAAATTAATATTCTCGCTTTAGAATTCGGAATAATTTCCAATATCTTTGGTCCTGGAATTCTGATGAACACTAGATAAAGTCTCCATGGAAAATAAATTATTAATACCGAAAAGAAAAAAAAATTCAACGGGTAACAACAGAAATACCTTTGAACTCCGAAGGTATGAATTACGACTGACTAGAAAAACACTATGATAAGACACTTAAACTCCAATTACAACGCAGAAAGGATCACGTGATATACCGTAAGACATGGGCGAGTTTGATCCTACTGAACGAATCTATAAGAATGAATTAAAATAATTTAAAAAAGTTGTTTACATAGAACTGACACGCAAGCCAAGTATGACCTTGATTACGACCAATAATTTTCACTCTAGGAAAGAAATAAAAAAAGTTGTTTACCAGTTCTGAATCAAAGTCAGGAACTAGGTCAGCTAAAATACAATGAAACAATATTGGTTATTTACCAGGGCAATGCAGAACTGAACTGAATTTTCCGAAAAATTGTCAACTACAGTTAATAAGTTTATTACAAAGACATGTAATGAAATAAAAATAAAAAATTAAAACTAACCTACATGTAATTAAATTGCATATACGTAGCAATCATATATCTTAATATCAATAGTTTGCATGTATGGGCAATGATGTTACTGGTTTCCGTTGGTGGATTTAAAAGCATCGATCTTGCGCTCATCGATTTTTGCAACATCTACGGTGAATACAGATACTTCTTTAAAGTCGACCCAGAATAACCCGAGTACTTGCACGAAGCCAAAAACGTTTATCCGCTGGCTCAGAAGCGCAGTCTGTATCCGGGTTGTGCTTGTCCCCATGTGTGTCAAATCGTGAATTACTCCGGCCATAAGAACACGGAATGCACCAAACCCGTCTCGAGTTTCAGGGCAAAGCACAACTATGCGTCCATAACCAGCAAAAGTTCCCTGCAACAGAGTATGCGTGTCGCCTAAGACCAACTCACAGAGGCCACCTTGACTTTGAGAATGAATTTTTCCAAATAATGAACAATGATACATTTGGGGAAAACCGTCGAAAATCTGGGCAAACGCATCCACGTCGATGTTTTCCGTGCAAATAACGAGCCGGAGAGACTTCGAAGACATATTGCAGACAACGTCATCTTTGATGATGGCGGGCTTATTTGCATCCACAATAAACAAAAATGAAAGTTCACGCTAATGAAACCAATCTACTACAAGACTGTTTCATCAGAATCGGGTCAAGATTATGTACACTGATACTCGTGACTGCTGCACATCACCAACTACAACATATATGTAGATATGGCTCATCAAAACCTAATTAGAAAATATTATACGAGCGAATATCCACCCTCACACCCTCTGCACTCAACCAAGAACACAAAGGTAGTGGGCAAGTTCAAGGACGGGTGCTCGGGTTAGCCGATCGAAATGTGTGTGGTATTGCGCCACAAAATGTAATAGATTGTGTTCGGGCACGAAAACATCAAACAAAGTGTTCCACGTGTCATAGCACAGAAAGATCGCAAAACAAACTATCCCTGTAATGTGCTCGAGACCGTCTTATGTTCGCACACGCAGTCAATATAGTCCGATCCAAGAACCATCCCATGGGTGTGTACTGATGCACCAATGCAAGTTTGTCCCCGATGGTTACCAAGCGATGGATAGTAACCAATGATATTAAAACTAACACGTTTTGTATTCGCGCTATTGCAAATGACAGGTTAAAAACGTGTCAACACAATCCTTTTATGCCATTCCGTGACTTGTAATTTCTCTAGCGCAAATCCACGACTGGTAGACAATGCTGCATCAGGCGATGATGTCCTTCTCCATCGGTAATGCGTTGGTTGTCTTAGAGTATCAATCCGTTCCGAAATGGTAAATACGACCACATACCATACCTGATTAATGGCACGAGGTTGTGGCCCTACTTCCTATTCTCCAGGTGTACACTAAAACTGAACAAGTAAAAATGCTTTCTGTGAAATCATTTTCTGAGTAACATTAACGGCTTTTTGTCGAATCGCATTAGCTTTCTCTTAATCCCGTCGTGTTTCTGACTTCATTGTTCAAGGCTGATATGACAAATGGAGATCGGGGGTACCCATTTCTGATACCAGTATGGTTTGATCAGCAATTTGTGTGCGTACTGATGACGGAATAACTGCTCCTCAATGGTGTGATTAAATCGTTCCACAATAGCTTGTTCACAATGGACACTGACATACCTCACACGTACTCCCACAGTGTCTGGTTAACAACGGATCCACAGAGCCGAGAAATTATTTGCCAGGATCATCTTGTAACAAACTTGGCCATGTGAGTGGTCATTCAATTGAGTGAATCTACGCTACTGGCAGAATCTTCGGACATAGCAGGTCCACAGCAATTGAAGCCAGGAAGACATTTTTCCTGGATAATTAATCCATGCTGTCACTGGTAATTTTCCTATCAGACGCGATATCACCGCCGCTAGTGACTTTTTAAACTTAACCGTCCGCCAACAAACGTAAACGTCTTTACTCTATGTCGAGTATAAACCCCATAATCACTACTCATGATTATGTGTCTTAATTCGAGATTAATACTGGTTCGTGTTTTCACGCGACAGCTGTAATAATATGACGATATTATTGTAGTATAACGATAGACAATTATTCAATGGCAACACGCAAAAAAATATCGCTTTTGCTTTCAATGTCAACGATTTCTTCGCACAGTCACGACTAAATCAGGCCAAGTATAGCGATCCAATCTCGGTCCGGGCACCCGTCATTTGCACTGATGGATCCGGTAAAACACGACTGTTGCTGAACATAGCTTTACGAGGACAAACCTTGGATCGGTTACACGTGATTGCACCATCGGCTGGTGACCAATTGTGTTCTCAATGATGTTCAAAAAGCGTTAAGAATCAGCAACAATGCTTAATTCGATTCCTTTTCCACCATATACGATTTAGATGCCAACAAAAGCAATATGGTAATGTACGACAATGTGATGCTCGAGAATCAAGTCAATTCCGCATATATATTTTCACGAGGCCGGCACAATAACCAAACGAGATGTATTTGACTCAATGTTATGCCCATGTGCACAAAATGATCCGTGACAACTATAACATGGTGATGATATTTCTTGACATTGACGGTATGGTCTTTGAAAGTATTGATTGGATTTAGTACTCTACCGACTACAAGTCGGATAATTTCGTGACATGTTTACGCGGATTACCTCGGACCCATTTAGTTTTCTAGTGACTGATAAGGCTAATGGTGTATCACGTTAGTGTAGTGCGGGTATGGAAACGAATGTGTCTCACGCTGACGTGTCAATTTAACATAAAATCGTATACAGATGAAAGCGATACCATATAATTGTACGAAAGTCGACGACATGA